ACTTTTTTCTTAGCTATCCAGGACATTTAAGGTAGTTTTATTTTACTAATAATTTTTAAAAGCTTTTTTTTTCATTTTTAATCAATTTCCAATTACCATGTAAAGGTGAATACATACATCAAGTAACAACATTAGTCAGCTAGCAAAATGAAAAATGCATCCTTCACCATTTTCTCATAATTAGAAAATGTACAAATTAAAAATCTGAATAAATGTATGTTAAGTACCAAATTTAGTGTAAAAGCTATAATTAGTTGCAAATCAACATGTTTTAATGGGTACCAACAAAAAACAACTTCCTTCAGGGAAATAACTAAAAAGTACAAATGCAAAGCAAGATTGAAATCCGTGATTTCAATCAAAGTTTCCTCATTGTTGACTTAAATATCAAACCACCCAGATGGCGTGTTAAGGCAAGAGGCGTTGCAGGTGACTTACTGCAGGCTGGGCTGGAGCAGTACACGGAGGGCACCCAGAGATTGGAGGAGCCAGTGTCAAAGAGGACAGAGAAATCCTGGGCTGGGGTGCCGATGGAAATGGTTCCAAAGTACTCGATCTGCCAAAGCAGGACAAAGAATGATGTAAAGAGAGGGAACCATTGCCATTGCCATCCAAGGGCTAGATCCTCAGCTGGCGTAAACCGGCATAGTTCCACCAGCTGATTTACACCAGCTGAGGGTCTGGGTTACGGTGTCCTTGCTAACGGCTCAGCCTGAGTTGCTGTTTCTCTGCCATCACTTTGCCAAGCATGGCTCCTAGGACTTGCTGGCATCTGATGCACAGAGTTATTTATCCCCAGTTCCCATCAATCTCAAGGTGTTGGGAAGGGGGGAGCCAGCAGACCTGGGAGTTCTATTCCCAGTGCTCTTCTTAATCCCATCCAATCACAGCTGGGGGCTGGATGGCCCAGCACGGGGGCTGGGGAGGGTTCTTGGCAGCAGCAAGGTATGTGCTTGGTTGGAAGCACGTCAGTGGGGGAGTGGGTTGAGGCCTTTTGGGAGGAGGGCAAGATCAGCTGTTGGCAGCAGGGCCGCCCAAAGGATTCAGGGGGCCTGGGGCAAAGCAATTTTGGGGGCCCCGTCCATAAAAAAAGTTGCAATACTATAGTAACATGTATTTGGAAATGTAAAAAATAACCAGTGAAATACATTCAAAAAATAATTTTTAATAATTTGAAAATACACAAAATACATTATTTAAAAACCACTAAATGCTTTAATGGTATGTGTACATTTGCAATTACATAATGGGCTGTCGCTGGGTGATGGTGATGGTTGGTGCCAATGGGCTGTCGCTACCTGGGGGTGGTGCTGCTGTTGCCCAGGGCTCGGTGGGGAGCTGGGCTCTGGGTTGGGGGGTGCCCGGCTCAGAGGGGCTGGGCTCAGAGCTGGGGGTCAGGACTGTGGGGGGATGGAGTTGGGGGGTGCCCGGCTCAGAGGGGCTGGGCTTGGAGCTAGGGGTAAGGGCTGTGGGGGGATGGGGCCGGGGGGTGCCTGGCTCAGAGGGGCTAGGCTCGGAGCTAGGGGTCAGGGCTGTGGGGAGAGTGGGGTCAGGGAGGGTGTCTGGCTCAGAGGGGCTTACCATGCTGCTTACCCCCACCTCTCCCCTCTCTCGGAGCCTCAGTGCGCTGCATCCAGGAGTGGCCCTGGACAGCGCTGCAGTGGCGTGGCTCCAGCGGGACCTGAGCTCCCACCGCTTGGTTGGAGCTCGCAGCCCTGCCCCCTTACCACGCAGCTCTGAGCGGGAGGAGCTCAGGTCCCGCTGGAGCCACGCCACTGCAGCGCTGTCCAGGGCCACTCCTGGATGCAGCGCACTGAGGCTCCGAGAGAGGGGAGAGGTGGGGGTAAGCAGCATGGTAAGCCCTCTGAGCTGGGCACCCCCCCCCGACCTC